GAGAGTACTCGTGCTTCTGCTTCCTGATAAAGCTTGGATCGTGAACTGTAGAGGTGAAATGAGAGATGTGATTCGAAGACTGGAAGACGTGTCATAGGTGTAGGTGTTGAACGAAGAATTTGTAAAGCAATATTCGAGGACAGTGCGGTCCATCTGTCTTGCGATGACGATGAAGCTAGGAGAGCTTGTAAAGACGTGCGTACTTGTGAAGCAGAATCCAAATTTTGAAGAGACAAATAAAGTGGTGTTACAGGATATGTTTCTGGCGTAGATGCAGTAGTTGATGGAGATGATCGTGGGCTGGACGATTGAGAATCCGTAGCTTCATCCTCTAGATTTGGTACCCATACCTGTTTACCTGAAAGTTCCCTTGAGAAATGACCTCTCTCCTGAGCCAAATGATTGTACTTTCGTTTGGCTTTGAAATCATTCTCAGAAGGGACTGTCGGTGCCGAGAGCACGCCCTCATCCGCGGGAGAAGAAATATACGACGAAGCAACAGGTGTATCATCCTGTGGTACTGATCTAGCCTCGTTCATTTTGGATGCCGCGTCAAGTTTGTGATACAAAAACATGCAAATCTCGAGATTGATTAGATCCAGCATATCCGCTCGAAGTTTAACCAAGCGCTCCTCATCGAAAAGGAAGGTGTGAGGAACAGGTTCTATGGCTTTGGATGGTAACGTCAGATTTACAAGTGCTTTCATGAAGTCCCATGTGTTTCCTTGAATTCGTGTTGGTGCGTCCAAGTGAACGTTATCTGGCAAGCTTGCTGCCTTTTTGAACCAATCATGTGCCGAAGCGATGTCTACTCTACCCATTGCAATTTTTCTTACGAAGAATTTTTGCTCAAATTGAACAGTGTCCTCGATAAGCAGTGGGCGCAAACATCTGATTTGATGATTTGCGACATCCTGAATGTGATATTAGCAAACTTCCGTTAGGCTCATATCATGCAGAACTTACGAGTTTCATAGCTTCCAAAACACCCAACAGATTTCGCATTCCGGAGACTAACATCGACACGTCCCAGTTTTTATCACCCTCACTCAACTGAACGACCATTTCATCCACCCAAGTGTCTCTC